AGAAATGTGAGATAATTTTCCATCGTAAGTGCTTTGAAACATTCCATTCCTAAATATCTTACTTACAGAGAAAACATTCAAAGAGAGTTCGTAAAATCACAATTTTTGATTTTCTACGTTTACGTATTAAATATAAAATTGCTGAATAAATAAAAAACACTGAAAAAAGTGAAAATTATTGTCTAAACTATAAGTACGAGTATAATCAATTTGAAATGAATGGAAGAGTTTTATTTGAAATGTAAGTGGCAATTGAATTTTACACGTACGTGCTTGGTGGCAAAAATGACCATTCATTATCCAGAAATGTAGAAGTAAACAATAAAAAATTCACAATCAAGATTTGATTTTAATTAACTATAGTACAATGCAGTCGAAAAAACCTATTTTAAAACAAAAAAGTTCTGAGCACTAATGGGTTCAGGGCTACTATTTAGAATATTTATTGATGGGATTTATGAGGATCATTAGTTGCCACTGACTCATACCCCGCGAATGATTGGTTGTTAAGTGGATGTGGTATTCTTTGAATTATTTTGGAAATTTTACTATTCGCCTAAATTATTACACTATTGTTCATGTCAAGTTAGAGTTCTTAACGACATTAGGCCGATGAGCAAATAACTGACGCGGTTAGTTTATAATCCGAGGTAAAAGCCGAGGTCCTTAAGCAACTAAATCTGTCTAATATAATCAATTTTTCGAGATCAATGGCTCACAGAATGTGAATTTTGCTTACAGAGCGTTTTAGAGGAAGTAATTAATTGCTTAGGAACATGGTTTATTCATCAACAAAATTTACATAATAAAAAATACAAAATTTTCCCTTCACTAATTTATAATTTTCTAGTATTAATTTTCATAGAAAGAGAGAATAGAGAAAGTAAAAACAATATAAATAGGAAATGCTTTTCCATGAAAAAGGATCACATACACGCCATCCAGATACGAGTCACTTGTTGGTAATTGTTCTTAACCGACGCCAGTAGTTATAAGTGGCTATCAGTTCCTCTGTTTAGTAGCATTGTTTACATAACAGAAAAAAATCGAAAATATTATAGTACTTTTGTTTATAATGTTTTTATCAAATAGTGCCTATTTTCGTGTTTTGAAAAGATTAATTGAATAATTTTGAAAGAAGCATCAGTCATGGCAGGTCAGTTCAGAAGTCGTTTTTCACATAAGTGTATATCAAATATAATCTAAACAAAATGACTGTTCCTTAACAAGATGCGGGAGTTGTGGGCGGGAGTGTATGATGTGAGGAGTGAAATCCAGCCAGGGCATTGATAGCCGCTGAGCGCCGGCGACCACATTCGCGTTCCGAATCGTTATAAGAAGCGAGGGAGGCGTGGCCGGCGGCAGTGGTTAGTTTGGGCTGCTTAGCAACTGCGCCCGCGGCGGCCGGGGGCGGCCGGTGGTGGCTCGTGCGGCAGTGCGGCGTGGTCATGGAGGACGCGCGGAAGGGCGGCGGCGGCGGCGACGCCCCGGCCGGGGGCGCCGAGTCGCCCGACTCGCAGGTACGCGCGCGCACGCACTCCACACGCCCTCCTCTGGGGCCGCCCGCGTTCCCCGCGTGGCTCTTGTTCGCGTAGACACGTGTTTGGCGGTGTCGGATCCTTTTGAATAATCACAATTGATTGAATAATACACGACTGATTTCTCTAACCGACGCAGCAAGTGTTTGTGTACTTCCACTCACTGGAAAGTTGAGAACAGCGATGTAATCGGTTATGAGAATAGAATGCGACTATTTTATTGTAAATATATTACCGCTTAAAAATTCGTGGCATATATCGTAAACATGTATGAATAGTATAACAGTGATGTATCGGTATCGTATTTAAAGCGATATATTCAATGTCAGGATGATTCACATATTGTAATGAGCCTGAAATACATTTTCTATACTGGAAAATGACGTACTACGTGACAAAAATGTTCTACGTACAACATATTTCATTTATTATCATTGTGTTCCCTACTCGCGTATCATTTAAAAGGCGCAGCTGTTCTTTATCGCCGTAAGAAATTACATATATACATTTAGCACAAATATACCCCGGATCTTATGCGTAATGAATTGCGAGGTAATTAGCTTTTGTTAGAAACATTTAATTAATAATCATGCAAATATGTAAGTATAAATGTATTTTTTGCCTGCTCAGTGTATTAATTTCCGCTCGTTATAGAATGCAATGTAAATGACTCTAAGCGATTCTCTTCCAACTGCTATCTCAATACAGTGCTTCACATATACACTGCCGTGGCTCGGTGAGATGATCGATTGAGATAGCGCAGTCACTTGTTTATTTGCGTCCTACAGAGTCGTCCTTCCCATATCGCAAAGTGGGGGAGTGGATTTAAAAGTCAAATCTGTCTCCATCTCACTCACTCGTGGATACGACCCCTAATGAAATCTGATAGGACATAAGCTCTTTCGATTAGGTCTACTTCATATTGTGCCAGATGCATCTGGTTTCAAGACAGGGAAAAATATTGTCCTGAATTGTTGCCACATGTATTCTTATTTAGAACTTAATTTATTTCACTTTCAAATGTCTCTGTATATTTATATAAACATACAATTTTAATAATAATACTTGTATTATCAGCTTACAAACAAAAATTCAAAAACCGAATGACTATACGAAAGAACTCATTCGACAAAGGATTTCGTATCAAAAAAATATTTATTCGTCCAAGTATTGTTAACTTGCCATAAAACAAAAGTTAATTTGATTTCCCAAACCCATGTGCAAAAAAGGGTGTGCGAGAAAGAAGTGGATATTTTTCTTTCTGGTAAATCATTTCTTCAATTTCACACGAGCCTAACCTTTTTAGTTGCAGCAGGTATTAAAACAAAAATAACAGTAACTGTATTTAAATTAATATGAGCGGTTAAGATTGACTTGAATATTGTAGTTGAATATAAAATATATGCAAAAGCTTATGGTGTTTATTAAAACCTTAATCCAGATATTCTAAAAAAACAATCGGTTTAAAAGTAAGAATTCTTTTAAAAATACCTTCTCTAATCTGGAATCAATAGAATTTATTATCTCAAGAACAAATATTTTTCAATTGTGACGATGAATACAAAGAAAAAAGAAATAATTTCAAGATTTTTCAAAATTGTAAGTTTTCAATTAACTAGAAAATTGAAAAATGATAGCTCAAATTTTATTTATTTATTTCAGTTGTGTAGCTAAATAAAGTAAGTCAAAGCATCACTTCACATTTGTAAAAGATACAAAACATTTTACAATTGGCGCAATAGAGAGGCAATAGAGGTTCAAAATATTTTGTCCTGTCCTTTTTTTACAAAAGATAAAGAGTAAAGAGTCACTTTTGACTTTTAAATGGATCTAGACCATTTACAAATTTTGGGCTGACAGGAAGTGTATAACACAACTTCTTCAAATATATGTTAAGGTACATTTTATATATGTTTTTTCGAGTATTTTTCTGATGAAACATAATGACACTGTTTCAAATGGAATATCCTCGCCATTTTTAGAGAGCAAACAAGCGAAGGCTTAAACATCTTTCTTTTGTCATTCTCTTGTACAACTGTCACCACGTTGTACATACATTTATTTCCTTGTACCTGAAATAATTTTACATGACTGTACATACGTGTATTAGTGTGATAAACTAATGGAAATTCAAATACAAAGAATTTGAAATGTATGTTATCAACCGAATTTAAGTGTAATAAAGCACTCGGTGAAGTATTTATTCAAGATCCAAGTGTGGTAATATGTAACGCTTCCTGTTCTCAGAGCGTCTTCGTGAAGCAGAAAACCCCGCCCATAAAATATTGCCTGAAAGACACACGTAAAAGGCAGAGGAGTGACTGTCTGGAAGGATACAAAAATAATTAAACAGTTATTTACAAATCAAACTATTCACTTAAAGAATAAGTTCATTCTGTCTAGCCAAAACTCAGTAAAATATGAATTTAATAATCAGAGTTGACCATACATATTTTATCTACAAAATGCAACAAAGACTAGGAATGAGTACCATTGAGTTTGTAAATGGTATTTTCGTCACATTTACATATGAAATGATGAAAGGAATATTATGGTTTTAAACCATACCATATTCATTGTTTTCATTCTGAGATGAAACAAATATTATGTAATCATTTATAGCTTTTGTTCACGCGAGTACAAAGTAAATTTTATGGGAAGAAAAAATAAAATGGAGTGAAGAGGTAAAGTAGGGTAAAGAACCCTCAGCAGTGGCTGCGTTAGGCTGCCACTGCTGAGGGTTCAGAGGGTAGAATATCGAGTGGCGATTGCCAAGTCAAATATCTGTGACATTTACCAGCATTTTACAACTGCCACATTTAGGTCAATATCGAGGAATGGAAATAAATTAATAAAAAATGAACAAATTGAAAATTGGGTATTTTTAGGCCGAGAACAGGTTTGTTACCTGCTCATTGAATTTTACCTAACGAATTAAGGACATTATCTACATAATTTTATGAAAACTAAAAGAAGTTCTTAAAGGAAACGAAAACTGGTGATTTTACTCCCACCACTAATTAAATATGTCAACAATTTTTCCGCGTATTGGAAACTGTATCACAGCTAACTTAACTCTCTCCCTGCAAAACAAAAACAACCATTTTCAAATTGGCTGGAATAACTTTGAAGTGAGACTCGGTAATACTTAAATACAATCTTTAGAAACGATTACAGAAGTAGTAAATTATAAAGGCTCATAGAGTCGGACACGTTAAAATAAGATAATTTTATAAACATTTCTTTCCTTTACAAGTTTATTTTACAGAAACAATAGGTAATAAATGTTAAATTCAATACAAAACATTAACTAATTTATCATTTATGAAAACAATGCACACATGTGAAGTGTAACAATAACGAATTAAAAACGACATACCGACATAATTTCAATATTAAATAAAATTGTATTCTTACTTAGTTTACATACTTGCCACGGTAATTTATATTTATGGAAGTGATCTATTTAAACGCAGCAAAAACAGCCCACATGACTGCATCTGTTCCATTAGACTTCCTATTTTCCACTTCGTAATTGAGTTCAAAAAGTTCCTTGGCCCTCGCCATAGCCATCTTATAATGGTTGTCCTCGAGGGACACGAAGGCGCTATCCAACGTACAGGCCGCTTGCGCCATAATGATGAGAGACAACACTCTCTTGTCCATTCGATGTGGGTCCTTTGCCCAGTTAGAGAGAAGTGCATCTTGGATCTTCTTTATCAACTGGGATTTTACTTCTTGGTCTACAAGAGGGTGAATTATCATGTCGAACAAAACGAAATCTTTTTTTCCATCAGCGAGAATGCCCTTTTCCACCAAATTTTTTGCTACCCTTTCTCTCACCTTTCGTAATTGATACCCAAACTTCGATGGACTCCATGAGTTTCCGGTGAGATAGTCTATCCAGTTATTTACTGTGTCAGGGGGATTCATAGATTTTACATGCTTCAACGTTTCATCCAATAACGCATTACCTGTTGGTTCATCATTCTTTACAGTCAGGTGGCGTCTCAACAAGCCTTTCCTTAAAATCCCTTTGCTTTCCAATTCTACTTTTCCTCGAAGACCTAACTCAATTAAGATACAACCTCTCAGTCCAGTTGGCATTGAAGAGTTCCAGAATGACACATAACCATTTTCATTCTTCAGAGCCAAAAGGAAAATTTCTTCCATTAGTGTGAGTGTTTTTTCTGAATCTTCAAAACCCGAAATATCGGCGGCACCTTGATTTCCATTTGAACCTGAAGAATCTTCCGACATTTTTGATTTGTTTCCTCGAAATACATGTCTCCTGTGTACTAAACAACTAGAGTTCATCATGACAATATTATATCAGAATTTGATTATCAGTTTTTTGCTGCTGTTAAAGAATTCACTGATGCACATTAATAACCACATGAATTAATATGATACTTCACAATCACATTGTTTATTTCTTGAAGCAATTGATATTTTCATTATTTCCAACTTCTACACAAACATGTGTTAATATTTTAATTCAATTTTTTTCACTCTATACTAATCACTATAGAATAACTGCAAAAAACACACAGCTATAAGTCTTCACTTTTTATCTGGTTCTTGGAAACATTAATACTGTCCACTTACTGGGGCCTTTTATTTCAAAGAAAATTCAAGGTTCATAGATGACAACGCCTCCTGTACATTAGCTGGCAAAGAAGCAAAACATGGAGCTATGAAATATGGAACTAATAGCGTACCCGTACGAGATGTTAATCTTCATCCTTTCCCTATCAGGAAAGGAAAGCTTTTCCAATGAACATGCATTTTGTTAAAATATAAGTTTTCTACTTACATAATACCAAACAAAATAAAAAACAATTGCAATTGATGTTGGAAACAAATTTTCAATAAAGTTTATTCAGCAATTAAGAAAACCGTGTTCTTCAAACAATTCACACCTCCTTAAAAACAGCATTTGAAGTAGTTATTTAATCTTCCTTGAGATTATCTTTTCGCTTTCATTGACAGTCACAAAAATATTAGAGGAATGCGAAAATAAAGGATCGGGCAAGTATAACCGTACTCTTTGCAATTTTATTTAACGTTTCTGGATTTGTTATGAGAAACAGAGGGAGTTTGGAAGGTCCGGGGCGCGAGATTGCTGGGGTTCTAAAATTGAAACCTTATTTTTATACTAAAATGTATTAGATTATTTTCTGCGTTCTTACGTACTTCAAGAAAAACAATTCCGAGCCAAGAAATAACACTAATATTTTCACCTTTGAGTAGTAAAGACCGTTTGTTACCCTTGGAAACAATTTAGAAGGTTTAGACTTCATTTCAGTACATGAGAATGTTGAACAATATTTATGTTTTGAATATCTTAGTGAGCCGGCACCATAAGTTTAATGTCAATGTATTATTTACAATATGAGTTTACAGCTGGGCATTGATGTGTGCACACGTCCAGATACTGCCAACATTTAAATTGTGCGTCTAAATTGTGATCTATTCTTTTTATAATTTCAAATTTGGTTCCTTTTTTATTTACGTATTACTGTAGGATAGCGCGTTTTTATTTTTGTTATTCATTTATTTCATGATACTATACTTCAGCTAATTAAAAAAAATTGTTTTTTAAGTAGTACTTCCGCATACCTCTAGAGATCTCTCGCATGTTTAAGTTAAGCCCCACACTCTTCCCTATCCATCCATTTCCGTTCTAAGGGGAAAAGTTGTTAAAGGAATTTATTTAATTATTTAAAAATGTATAAAGGAAACATACACTGTACTAACGCAATATCAAATAAAAATAAAAACTATGTTATTGATGTCGAAAATAAATTTTCAATAAAGATTTATTCGATATTATGGAGAGATTTCTTGAAACAATTCACAACACTTCTTTAAAAATATTTGAAGAAATTACTCTATATTCTTTGACATTTAGCTTTTCGCTTTTCGTGATAGTCACAAAAAAAAATTTTAAACTTTTTACTCTTGAGAAAACTACGACTTAACTCGCTAACTTGAAAGTTTCACCGAATCACAGCTGATAACGAAAATACTGGTACAGGTAAAACAAACCAAATCTAACAAGACACGTCTTCACTCTTCACTGTATACCCTAATTCCTCCACAACTAGGTACAGAGCACTTGTAGATCGCGGCAAAATGTTGAATGAATGTTTTCACTACACCCATAAGAAACTATCTTCATCAGTATCAAGCAACTATTAATAGTACTTCTAGTTGTTGAGTCTTGAATTAATAATTATGCAAAATAAACCTCGTCAGTCTGTGGAAACCACGGTGTACCCAGAAAGCGTAAATAGTATAAGATAGAGGAATCTAAGCCTTCTAAACGTGACGTCACTGAGATGGCCACCATCACTAAGGGTTGAAAGTTGGCATTGGCAGTATCGATACGTACCGAACCAGCAAATTTAATGGTGTTTAAAAATATCTTATCCTTTAGATTGGGGTGTGAGAAACGTTCTTTTGAGCACAAAGTTTTAGTTTTTAAGGCCTTAGAACTCTTTGTTTTAAAGTTATTTAACGACATAGCGGACTGAATGCTGCGGGTTGCATTTAGCCTGTATATTTAGATGCGTTTTTTGAATAAACCTTCATATTTTTAAAGATAATGTGCAGTTCGTGAAATCTACACAAAATCTCTTTCCTTAAAGACCACATTTATAAAAATTGGTTGTCTGTGAAAGTCATAAAATGTATGTATACTCCTGGATTAATGTAGGTGACGATGTATGCTTAGCTCCGTGAAGTAAAATCCGCTATCCTTACCCAACTTTATCATCTTTAAAACCCTGCAGGCAGAAAATGAAAACGGTCTTTGCCGTTTAATGCTGCAACACCCATAATCCCAGCAAAATAAGTTAACAAATGCGCTGAAGAGAAACAGGTCGGGGGACAAAGTGCCAAGCAAACGCGTAGCATGGTGGCACAACACTGAACTCCTGTTCTGGCTAGGCACATACAGTGTGTAATAATCTTGTTTGTACATGTACTTTTTGTAACTAAAAATTAAATATTTACACTATTTTATATTTTTGTCTTATCTATATAACTCTTATCTATATGTCTTCTTTATATAAGTCTGAGGAAGCAAAAACCATTAACAAACACTTCATTTCCTTTCAAAAAAATACAAGCAACAGTCTTACTTGTACACTATCAAAATATTAAGGAATATGTTCAATAATTCTGAAATAAATATTTAATATTCTCATGCATATCCTTTAGCTTTGATAACTGCTTTGCATCGTCTCTACATTGAATACACACGCTTTTGACACCTAATATCATCGTTTTTTTTCATTCTTCTGCCTCAAACGTTTCAATTGTTTCAGTGACTGAGGTTCTTTTGCATGCACCCCTTTCATCAAATCAACCCATACATGCTCGATCGGGTTCAGATCAGGAGATTGATGGGGAGTTTGTGGCATTGTTTGTAAATATCAGCAGTGTACTTGAAGTCATTATCTTGGCCCTAATTGTATTTTTCCTGAACTCTCTTTCAATTTTTTTTTCGAGACATCTATCTCCATTAGTTCATGATGTCATCAATGATATGCATAGTTCCAACCTCATTAGACGACATGCACCCCCAAATGATCACAAAATCTCCTCCATGTTTCACAGTAGGCAGGGTGTTGCAAGTTCGTTGGCCGTATTTACCTCTCTCCATAGAGTTCGGCATCCTGGACCAAAAAGTAATTTTTGTTTCATGCGACCAAATAACGTTATTTCAGAACATCGTATCTTTGTTTTTGTGCTCTCTGCAGAATTTAATTCTGGCAAGTCGATTTTTTCTATTTATGAGTGGCCTCTTTCGTGCTCTTCTGCCATGATAGCCGTACTTCACAGTACGTTCCGAATTTTCTGGTTTGACAGTTTATTTTTTGAGATTTGTATCTTAATTTCGCGATGAGAGGACTTAATGTGATTTTTCTCATCTGTAGAATTATGAAACGTTCGTCCCTGTCACTGAGCTTCTTTTTCTTACCTTTCCTTGGTAGGTTCTTTGTTGAACCGTTGTATCTGAACTTATCTATCACATAGTTGACAGTAGAATAGGGTTTGTTTACTCTACGTCCAATTTCTTTTAGAGAATATCCTCGAGAAAAAAGATTTATGAAAATGGTCTTTACGTCACTGCTAAGTTATTTCCTCTTTCCCGTCGTGAAACACCACAAGCCACAAACAAAATACAGCTCATAACGGCCACTATGAAGGTCGTCCACCGCTTCTTGAAGGGGACGAAAAGTATTAACAGCCAAGGAATAAGGGAATTTATTAAAGTGTAGAAACAAGAATGTTTCACGTGAATACAATCAACTTCACATTACATGGTAACTTTTCCTATTTTCTTTTGCTTATTTTTATAAATAACGGACTTCTTACTAATTTAAAAAAATAGACAATATGACTAATTTAAAAAAATAGACAATCGTGTTAAATAATTCAATAAAATTTGAAGAGTATTTTCTCTGTAATAATAAACGAATTTCTTATAACAATTACATTGTAATGTTATGCATTGTAACTTAAAATGTGGAGTAAAATACTTCTTACGAAGGTAGTTACTGTCGCTTGGGCATAAGGCACTTTTGTTTCGTGTTGGCAGCCAATAATTCCCATAATTAACCGATGTATCCCGTAATAATGTGATTTTGTTGATGTATGTACAAATGTTGATTTATGTTTCTAAAGTAAAAATGAAGACTTGAGCATCTGGATTTTGATAGTGTGGTATTTAAAACAATGTTCTGTTCGACAATGTCCCTTTCAGAGCATTGAAATTTACACTATGAGAACAGTCGTGGAAAAAGACGATTATGGAGGATGAAATTGATCTTCAGGAAATTTGGAATTAATTCTGCGAGGAAAGGGACACGTTTTACCAAGATTAAAAGTTGTGCATGTAGTAATAAAGGAAGAGTATTAAAAAAATTGAGACTATACTTCTTAATCAAATCATGGGTTGTTGGGAGATTTAGTTCATTATGAATCTGTGTATTGAGAATAAACCAAGGTGCATGTAGAATTTTGTTTAATAATTTGTTTTCAATATTTTGAAGTTTTAGTATGTTTGATTTAGCAACTTTGACCACATTCGACTAGTATATGTTAAAGTAGGTCTAATAATTGAACTGTATATTAATTTAGCAGTTTTAACACGAAGACTTGGGTTATTGTTTATAAGAGAATTAAGTTAATGTATTTTAATTGTGTTTTCTAACATTTTAATATGAATTTTCCAGTTTACTTTTGTG